CCAGAGGGACAGAACCCAGCTCACAGGGACACTGAGGGACAGAGCCCAGCATCCTGAGAGGGATCTGAGAAACAACTGGGACACCAAGGGACACAGTCCAGCACTCTGGGACACCAAGGGACACAGCCCAGCTCCCCGGGACACCAAGGGACACAGCCCAGCTCCCCGGGAGGGATCTGAGCCCCAGCCTCTCTCTGCGTACCCAGCACAGTCAGACCCAGCAGTCTGGGCTGTTGTGTCTCAGGAGCTCCTGGCCAGGCACACTCGAGGTTTTCCCTCTCATTTCCCACCAGGATTGCAGCTCCCAGGGGCAGTGAAACCCAAACGCAACATCCCTGCAGCCACAGAGCCTGAGCGCGAGGCAGGACACAACGAACTGCAGCAGCTCAGCCAGCGCGGATGGGATGAGCCCAGGGTCCAGGAATGAGACATCCATCCCCTGCACGTCCCCTTCCCTGCTGCCAGCTCTGCAGGACTGACCCATTTTCATTTTCCACCAGCGGTGTCCAAGAGAAAGCGTTTTAAAGCGGGGCTGCAATGATTGAATTACAGAGATTAGCAAGAGAACACGGTGTTAATCGCTGCCTTGACTTCTCTCAGTGCCTGTCCTCAAGTCCACGGTGAGGAGCGAGGACTTTTCCACACGATTTCTGCTTAACCCTGCAAATTTCTGCCACAATTTCCTCTTCCCCACTGGAAACGAGCACGACAAAATTTCTTTCTAAGTCACTGCGGGCAGATCTGTTTGTTTGTTGTACGCAAAGTAGATCTAAAGCAGCACCTAAAGCAGCCCGAGCTTTTATTCTGCACAGGGTTTATGAGGAGGCACGAAATGGGGCACAGAAAGCAGCACGGGAACGCCTTTGCCTTTCCCAGGCACTCACCTGGCTCAGGTGTGTCCCGTCCCGCAGCGAGCCGCAACCACAGCCCGAGGCAAAGCAGCGCCTTGGCCAACATAGCACAGCCTGGTCCCGGGCTTAAACTACCTCAAATCCACGGGCTGGGCTCTGTAAAGGCAGACCGAGAGCCTGGGGTCAGTCATGGTGGGGCTGCGATCCCCCTGCCATGCCCGGCGATCTCCGCTCCTCGCCGTGAGTTCTGCTGGGCTGAGCTGCGGCTCCTGCAGGCAATTCCAATTCTCCTTCCTTCCCCCCACCCTCCTCCTCCTCCCCGCTCCTTACTCCTTTTAAAGCCATAAATCCATCCTGACAGCAATCCTGCTGCTCTCCCTCCGCCGAGCTAAGCTTGCCCCAGGAGCGGGGATTCGCTCGCTGTGTGCGCAGCTGGCTTGAAAAATATAAAAAATATAAAAAATATATCCCCTATAGATAAAACTTTGGCCCTGCGAGGCGCTGGCAGCAAGCCAGTAAAGCGAGGAGGGAAAAAAAAAGAAAAAAATAAATAAAGAAAAGCTGAGAGAAATCTAAAGTTCTGCTCTCTGGAATGAGCTAGAAAAGGGGAAAAAAAAAAAAAAACGCGTTTATAAAGGAAAGAAAGAGTAGAAAAGGCTGGGGAGCTGCCCTGCCCTGGGAATATTGGCTAATCTTCTGGGAGGAGCATTCCACAGGTCCAAGGGCTGCCTCCCACGGGTGGGGGACACTCGGAGCCTGTGTCCCCTGGGAAGGGCTGCGGGGACACCAGCACAGGCAGAAATCGCAGAAGGAACTCTGCCCAGGTGGGAAAGGGCAGGGAGCAATTTTGGGAATTAGAGCTGGCACGGGAAGAGCCCAGGGATCATCTCTCATGGTGTGGTGATAAATACAGGCTGGGGCCAAGGGGGCTCCCAGCTTAAAGATAAACCTGGGATAAATCTCTCCCTGGGTGAGGGGAGCAAACAGCAGAGATGCCAAGGTTCAGCCTCTCCTGTGTGCAGGGCATTTCTCCCAGAACATCAAAAATCAACCCCGATTCCCTTTCCCAGAAATTCCCCAGGGCTGTCTGTGGCCGTGGGAAGGGGTTTTAACCCTTTAAAAAATAAGATGCACAGCTCCACGATAGAAAGAGCCAAGTTGATTCAGGAACACACTCGGTTTTATAGCAGGACTGCAACTCCCAGAGCAGAGAAAAGGAGATTGGTTCAGAGAGAAGACACCCCATGGCCAGGGCCTGGGCACACACCACAACAGGGGTTTGATTTTGGTATTAATTCCTTTGTATTTTGACCAAATTATCACCCAAGCCTCGAGCTGGACCAGGAACAGAGCTGAGAAGCTCCAGCCTGGAATATTTCTCAGGCTGTAATTTTCTTAATTTCTCAATATGTGTCCCACACCTGTCCTGATCTCCTCACATCTGCTTTTGTCACTCCTCAGGTGAGGTGACAACAATTCCCTTTCCAGTGTGAATTTTTCCATGTGCTGCCTCTGGACAGGTCCAAGATGTTGCCAGCAGAGGGAAAAGGTGGAAAATTACATCCATTTATGAAGAAATCCATCAATCCTCATCCCTTTAACGTGGGGAGGGACCAGGCTGAAAAGCAGCAAAGAAGGGATGTTTGGGAGCTTTGGGGATTTCAGACACTGGTGAGCAATATTTCCTCCAATTTTATTTCCTCTCCCCTGGGAACTGTAAAAAAAAAAAAAAAAAAAAAAAACTCACCAGGAGTTAGGGGCCAAGGAGTGTTCAGAGTGGAAAAAAGTTGTATCCAAACTCATCCACCAAATGGAAAATCAGGCTGAAGATGCAATTAAAAACCCATTTTCCAATTAAAGAAAATCCATTTAAAAGATGAGGAAATCCAATTAAAAACCCGTGGATTCAGGGAGTTGAGGGCACTTGTTTGTGTTCCCCTCCCAGTTTGGAGCTGCCAGCCCCAGGATATTCCATCACTCAGTCCCTGTGCTGGTGACAGCCTCGCCCATCCAGGCTGGAATCAGTTTTATCCCAGGTTTTAGGGGAATGGGATATTCCTGCTCCCACTCTGAGATCCCCTCCCAGGTGCATCCTGAGGCAGGGAAAAAAAAAAAAAAAAAAAAAAAAAAGGAGAAAAAAAAACCTGGTGCAGGCTCAGGTGACAGAGGAGCTTCCAGGGGGAAATTACACAGAAAAGCAAATCCCAGAGGGCAATAATCCCCCAATTTGGGCACATCCCACAGGGTAATAATTCCCCAATTTGAGCAATCCCACAGGGTAATAACCCCTGAATTTGAGGAAATCCCATCATGATCTAATCCTCCAACGAGCAAATCCTACAGGGTAATAATCCCCCAATTTGAGCAATCCCACAGGGTAATAATCCCCCAGTTTGGCCAAATCCCACAGGGCAATAATCCCCCAGTTTGGGCAAATCCCACAGGGCAATAATTCCCCAATTTGGGCAAATCCCACAGGGTAATAATCCCCCAATCTGAGCAAATCCCACAGGGCAATAATCCCTGAATTTGAGCAAATCTCATCATGATCTAATCCCCCAATTTGAGCAAATCCCACACGGTCTAATCCCCCAGTTTAAGCAAATCCCCCCATTCCAGCTGCACAGATTCCCACTCAATCCTCATGGATTCACCACGAGGGAAACCAAGGAGGTGAAAAGTTTTCCAAACCACTGCTGAGCTCAGGATTTTCCCAGTCCCATCCTGGTTCTCTGCTGGATTCTGGAGCTGGGTCATGGGAGGGCAGGGAATGGAAGCAGAGGAAGGAAATCCTGTCCTGGTACCCACCTGGCCTGGCCAAGGCTTTGGGATGTGTCTCTGGCAGCCAGAAACAGAGAATTTCCAGCCCATTTTCTCAGCACATTTTTCTTTGCTCTGCTGCAAATCCATTTGGTTCTCATCAGCTAACTCAGATATCCACCTGCTCCTATCATATCATATCATATCATATCATATCATATCATATCATATCATATCATATCATATCAATCATATCATATCCCATCCCCAGACCCACTCAGACCCCTCGATTAGGGCTGCTGGATACATGGAGTTGATTTCCTTCCATTACTCACTTCCCAAGGAAGTGTTGCTCATCTCACAATAATTCCCTGCTTTTTTTTTTGCTCTTTTTTTTTTTTTTTTTTTTTGCCAGTTTATCCCTATGGATGCTGTTCACACCCTGCAGCTTGGAAGGAGATTTTTTTTTATCGACCTCTAAGTCCTGCTGGGATAGGTACAAGCAGGAAAAAGCAGCCTGGAAAATAATTAGATTTTACAGGGTTTATTTTTAAACTTTACAGGAATTGGCAAATCCTGTTTCCAATAAGGCTGTGCTGGTTCTTTCCTGGATTCATCCTGCACCTGAAGCCAGAGGTGTCACTCCAGTTTTGCTCCTGGTTAAATCTCAGCTCAGCCTCACTCCCATTCTCCACCTGCCATGGATTTGGCCAAAATTCCCTCGGGGTGATCCCCTTCTCCCCATTCCAACCTTCAGAACAGCTCAGGAACAATGAATAATTGTAGGGAAAAAAAAACCCCACAAAACAAATAAAACCAGCAGCAACCAATCAACCACATTTTAGTTGTGACATTTCAGGGCCTCAGGTATTTCAGAGAGCCCTCGGTGCCTGGGGAGGTTTTGCTGCAGCTGCTGTGACATTCAGGGGATGTAAACAATCCCCAATTTCTGAAGAGATGCAACATCCTCTTCTGTGAGACAAATCCCTGCAGCTGGAACAAACAGGATTTTGGGAACACAGCCTTGTTTGAGCTCCACATAGGAGGGTTTGTTTGCAGGGGGATCTATATATGGAACTTTGGAAATTCCCTGTTTGGAAAGGGAGCAGAGAAGCTTTAGGGGGGGGTGAAGAGGCTGAAAAATTCCCCTGGAACTCCAGGGAAGGCTTGTGCAGCCCCAGCACAGGTAAGAAATCACAAAAGGAGCCAGGAATCCTCCTGGACAGGGCTTGGGCTGCAAGGCCAGACCTTGCTCAGCTCTTACCAACCCAAATCTTGACTCAGAGGATGCTGAGAGCACCAGAAACACCAAAACCACCCAAATTTCCCCCCCAGAACAACCCACTGAGCCACATTTAATTTCTGCTTGATTAATAGCTGCAGGCTCGTGGCTGAAAGGCACCAACTTCAAGTCCCTGACCCCCAGGAATGCCAGTCTGACTTGCAGGGGTCCTGACCCCTGCCTGTGTCACTTCTCAGTTACCACAGAGTCATGTAGGGCTCAGCCTCGAGTCATCTCTTATTTTTGTTTGACTTGGAAGACAAACTACAAAAATAGATGTGTTTACTCGCAGCATCCACCAGTTTTATGTTTCTGAGAGGATGGGCAGTGCTGGGGATGACTCCTCACTGAGGTCAGGTCTGGCTTTTAGATGATCTCTTTTACCCCAAAGCTCCCTAAAAAGCCACACAGCACAAGGGCAAGGGCACTTGTGGGGTGAGGAGCAGCAGCCTGAGCTCTGAGCCCTGAATTTTGGATTCCTCGAGTCCAGAGATTTCATTTACTGCTTGTTCTTGCCTGGAATTGAAGTAATTTCAAAGCTGGAGCAGGCTGAGAAAAACTGAACCCCCCAAAAAAAAACAAACAGGGCACGGGTGAGAAACACTGAACCCCAAAAAAACAGACAGGGCACACCAGAGAAACACTGACCCCAAAAAAACAGACGGGACACAGACACAGAAACACTGACCCCTAAAAAACCAGACAGGACACTCCTGAAAAACATTGACCCCCCCAAAAAAAAACCAGACAGGACACAGGTGAGAAACACTGACCCCAAAAAACCAGGTAGGACACAGGTTCAGAATCACTGATCCACAAAAATCAGGCAGGACACACCTGAGAAACACTGAACCCTTAAAAAACAGGGAAGGCTCAGGATCGCTGACCCTAAAAAACCCAGGCAGGGCACACCTGAGAAACACTGAATCCCAAAAAAAACCAGGCAGGGCACACCTGAGAAACACTGAATCCCAAAAAAAACCAGGCAGGACACAGTCGCAGCCATCCTGGAGTGTCCAAAATCCCCCAGCCCCAATAGCAGAGTAGGAGGACACAGGGGGAACCCCAGACCAAATTTCCCAATCCCTGTTTGAGGTGCCAGAGCTGCCACAAACGCAGGAGTGCAGGTGACAGGTAAAGGTGTGACCCCACAGCGCCAGGACCTGCACAGCAGGGAGCCTAAAAAACATTTGGGGGGACCCCCAAAATGTCCCAAGCAGAGATTCCCCGGCTCTGCAGGAGCAGCAGCTCCTCCCAAAGGCTGCGAGATTTGTGTTGAAATCCTCACTCAGAGGGAGGAGCGGCTGATTCAGGTCTCACGTCCCCATAGCCTGGCTGAACCAACTTCTCCATAACTGCCAGAACTAAATTAATTCCTTCGTATTCAAATATTCATCATTCAAAGCACCTCGGATTTAGCTGGAATTCGATGGCTCTGAACAAGGTGTGGGGGGGAGAAACTCTAGCAGAGATTCTCCAAGATTTTAAATTCCTGCTTCATTTCCTTCACAAGACAGGATTTAGCTGCCTTTTTTTTTT